GTTCCGTGTGGGCTTAGGTCTTGGAAGAGAGAGGCTATTTGCCTAATGGTATTTTCATTTGTTCCTTGTTTCCTTTTTCTTTAATATGATGCCTAATTCACAGATTGATAGCCTGTTGTAGGCATCCATGTAATCAATGTCAGCCTCTCTGTGTCAAGGGGAATTGCTGACATGCATCCCTTGGCAGCTCATTTGGAAGCAAATAATTAGAGAACATGGGTTTGAAAACAGTGGACAAAATAGTAGGAGAAGGGAATAGAGGTATCTGGAAGAATTGGTCTGAGTCTGATTCTAGCTTAGAGTTACTAGCTCTTTGAGTGTGAAGCTGTTGTCAGTATGCTGGAGAGGATTTATCCTGTAAGTGCAGTTTTAGCAGTGCAGAGCTCTTTTCCGTATTGATGACATTTCTGTGGAGTGTTATTTGGCTCACTAGTGAGATGCTGATGTCTAACACCTCCCACCTGAACACCCAGATGGAGTTGTAACCTCTAAATCTGCAAGTATTTACTTACTTTGGGTGGGCAAGTAGTTGGGGTGTCTGCAAAAGACAAAGAGCTAATCCAGCATGTTGATTTTACTGGCAAGGTTTGATGATGAAGCTGGGTCTACATATCAGTTATATCTTTGTCTGAATTACAGCAAATCAACTTTTGAGTGACTGGGGCTGATTTTGGGGTGTTTTGGACACGTGGAAAGCAGAAATTGAGAAGGGAAGGTTTGTGACTGACAAATTAAGAGCTGGTATGCAATATTTATTCCATATTAGTTGATTTTTATTGAAGAGTGGGGGGAAAGACAGCTATGAGGAGCAGGAGGAAAGAAAAAATGAATTTAGACAGCTCAATTTGTTCAGCTTTATTTTAAAAGAGCAATTAGTTGAAGCACACTGAAATTCAGTGCTGCCCTGTATCCTTCTGAAGCACTTGACTAGAATTCACTCCAGTTCACGAGGGCCTTTAGTGCTGGTGGTTGTAGTTTCAAACAGATCTGTCCCTAGTTCTCAGTTACCATATTTATTCTTTGTATGTCATATATGCTGTAGGGTTCTTGCCTTGTGACTGGAGGAGCTGTCACAGCAGAACATCCAGCGTTCCTCAAAGGCAGTGCAGCAGCTTTTCATAGTACAGTGCTTCTGCTGCTCTGAAGACTGTATTTTTTTTTTTTTAAGACAGTCTAGCAGCTCTAATGCCAAACCACCCACACTAGGAGACAACATATGGTAGCTACTATGAATTAACATGCAGATAAGGAGCATATCACCTAGTGTTTTTAAAAAGGCTTGAGCCTTGATGGCTTGGTTTCTAAGGTTTTGGCTATTTGGCCATCTCTCCACAACACACAAAACAAGTTTGCAGATAAGTCATGATTAAAGACTAATTTGGGCCATGCTTTGCAACTGTTGGAAGGAGTAAGCAGACAGTTTATTTTTCACTTGCCTATGCATGTATCAGTGTGTGCATGGGCTGAGATTTGAAGGTATGTTTACAGGACTTGTACGTTTCCTCTCCTCTCTATGTAGGAAGCCAATCTGTCTAAAAACAACCTGTGAGAGATACATGGTAAAAATATTTGGTGTTGTTTACAAACAATTTTGCTTCCAACTTTGTAGAAACTGTGGTAGAGATCTAGAACAAGTAATATTCTCAACAAAGCAGGTGGCTCTGAGCAAAAGGACTGTGTTTTTTGTGTAGTCTTCAGGACAAGTGCATCCTGGAGGGTGTGTGACTGTTCTGTGCACAAGCATCTGAGTGGAAAAGGCTGAAATTGAGGGGGAAGTGAGGGTGATGCTTGTTACACATCTGAGCGATTTGTACCCAAGACAGAATTAATTTCCAGCCTGCTGGGGTGACTTTGTGAATTCCAAAAGGAGTTCAATTTGTTAAACTTGTGAGTAAAAGGGATACAAGAGAAATTCGTGCTGTAAACAATCACAAAATGTCAAGAGCAAGACGCTGTGAAAAAAACCCTGTATTGTTTTGTCAATAAATTATGCCTTCTCCTACACAGATCACAGGAGTGGGACTTCACCCTGGAAACAGCAATATTTGATACCCCAGGCAGCTTATTCCCAGCTCAGCTCACACTTGACTGAATACACTGATCGATTATCCGCGGCTTAGCCAAGCCCTCTCATTTCCTGCCTTCCATTACCCCGCTCCATCAAGCCAGCCCTTCTTTGTGGCCTGCCTTGTGCACGGAGATAAGCCATCAAGGCATGTTTCTATTAGAAAAGCTCTTGTAGATGGAATAGTCATTAGATAACACTAACAGGTTTAAAGGTTGCAGTCTTTGTGTTGGTTCAGGTTAAGAGAACAGGAACGGAAAAGCTGCTGCCTTGGGTCGTTCTGGTGGAGGGGCAGAGGGGATTAAACCACACGTTGCCACGTTTAGTGCTCTTGTTTAACATTTTTATTTCTTGCTGCATGCTGATAGCTCTCATTTTTGACAATGCTGCTGTCTTGGCAAGAAGTAATTATGTGTTAATATGCATACATCTGAATTAAATAATCAAGCTGAAAAAATAACATTCATTTGTAGTAATAACCTCTGTATTTCCAAGCTGCGTTTTCTGGGCTTACAAACAGCTGATCAGGTTTCTTATTTAATTAGAAAACAGCCTACAAAAAGATATACTGAGAACATGGAATTGTGTGCTGTTGTGGAGTGGGAAGAAAATTGATCCGGTCTCTTCAGCTTCTGATTTCCAGATAGTTTCATTTGTGTCCCCACTCTGCTTTTGTTTTTTTTTTCTTCTCCCCCCCAAAGGATCTGATATGAATGATTTTTATTTTTCTCTAATTTGAATATTAGGAAATGTCAAAATTAAGTGTGAAAATACTTCTGTAGTAAGAGTAGAAATCTGGATAGTGATTCAACATGGCAAGAGAGAGCTGGGGCTCAGCAAGTGGGGCAAGTCAGATCTACCTCTGGTATTGGAATTAGGCTAATCCTGTGGCATGGCACACAATTAGAACTGTTTTTGTGAAATGAAAGAATCAATTGGGGGGTAAACAATGCCTCAAAGGAGTGGGTTAATTTGCAGTGTTAAAAAATGAATATAATGTCCACCTGAAAACTGGCTTTGTGAGGCTGGAGCTTCTATGCTGCAGTACACAAGGTGTTTATTCTGACCAGTAGAGCGACTTAAAATCATTAAGATGTTGTTAAAAGAATACAAAAAAATTAATAGCTTTTTTAAAAAAAATTATTTTTTTCTGATAAAAAAAGGTCATTGTTATAAGTATGTTTGAAAGGAAAGATGTTCTTTTCCCTTTTTTATCTTGCTGTTTGTTTCTTTGAAATAGCTACTATTCACTGGCTCCAGCCTGCCCATCTGTCATCCCCAGCATTTGGTATATTGTTTCCAAAGCTAGCTGTGATTTAACATGGTATCTAAATAGGGCAAGTAATGAAGGATACTGCTTAAATCCCTCTGAGAGAATCTGCAGGACATCTGTGATCATTTGCACAATTTGGTTAGTCATAACCCTGGGAAGAGGATGTGGAATCTCTTCAGATAGGAATAGTAATGCACAGTAACTGTGTTTTCAAGTGTGTTCTGAAAGAAAATTGGCATCTTGGAGTTGTTATAAGTGTGGTCAGAATCACTACATTCATTCTTGTAAAGAGAACCTTCAAGATTTATTCCCTTTTCCACTTTAAGGGAGAGGTTCTTTTCTAAATAAAATTGAGCAGATGCTTGTGGACTGGGCTGCTGCTTTAATCCATTTACGGATTTTACCTAATTCTTGTTCAATGTCCAAAACTGATCCATATATTTTTAAGAGGAACAAGACCAGCAGCAGCACCAAACCCCCAAGTGAGTACTTGGAGTACTGTGACAATAGCAATATTTTTCATTTGAGAGGAGAATGAAGTCCTGTAGCACAGGGAATCTTTTTGAGCTGACAGGACGATGCATTAAAGCACTTGCCTTTGCTGTGATTTCTGCAAGTCTGAATTTGGCATGTGGCTATCTGCAGCTTTTCATATGTAAAGGTGTTAAAAAAAAAAAAAGTAACAGTTGATGAACTAGGAACGCTTCTTTTGTGTGTACATGGTTCTAAAATAAATTGTCTACCACAGAAGTTGGCACCTTCACACCCCCGAGTCTAGTCTGCTCTGTAAGTGACATACAGATTTAGAAAGCTGGCTGAGAAACCAGCGTGTCGAGGAATGTCTGTGCGATGGAGGATGTAAATGTGGAAACACAAGGGTCTGACAGACGTTCTGTATTTTTAGGGGTATTGGAACTTCAGATGAAAACCCACAAAAATATGCCCATTGGAGAGGAGATACAGAAAATACTTCTTAAAACGAAGCTTTAAAATTAATTGGACAAAAAGCAGCAAGTGTGGGGAAACAGAGGTGCTTAGGAAGGAAATCAGATCACCCCCTAAAGCCCATAACCAAACCCAACTGCTATCAGCAGAGCACAAACTGCAGCTTATTAGTATGTCAGCATATTTTAAGTTGGATGATTGTCCAGAGACTCTTCTGTAAGAAGTTGCTTGCACATCTCTGGTCGTTGCTATTTTTGGTGCTGGTTCCTTAGGCAGGGAGGCGTTGAGTTGTGCCATATGCGTGTCCTGTGATTCAAATGATGAAGAGCAGTCAGCATCGTGCAGCAGGTGCTGCTTTCAGTTTTGAAAGATATATAATGAGTCTAATCACTTGTAGAGTTATATACTTGGGCCATGTTCATCTTTCCCTGTCATTTATAATTAATTTAAAATGCCTATTTTGTAAAATTCGCGTTTTAGAAGTTAAAAGCATAGAAAGTTGGTGTAGGTCGTGGCTTCAAATCTATGCTTATACACAACATTTGCTTTGATTGTTGTTTTTAATAATCTCTTCTGGTTCAAATTCTAACTTTATCTTTTTTCTCTGTCATTTTAAAGATAAATCAGTTCTGTTTCCAAAGTGTAGTGAAGAAAAAGCCGCTTTTCTGTGTTATGAAACCCCCTGTTATTTTTCTTTGTGATCTTCCCCCGTGACAGTGCCTCACAACTACATGATCAACCTGAAGAAGTCGATACCATTCCTGTTGGCAGGTTGCAGAGTAGGGCAATTCATCATTTCCCTGGAAACTCCTTAGATTCAGCCAGCCTCCTGAAACTCAATCTCATTCCTCGTGTTCTTCCTGATTGTGAATCTGATTTCAGGGGAGGAAGCGTTGTTCCTCTCTTTTGGTGTGCAGAGTAACTGCTAAACTCTGGATGAGACACAGCAAAGGAAGTGACTGAGGCCTTCTGTGAGTCTGAGAACAAAGATTCAAAATAGGAAATGAGCACCTTCCATTACAATTAAAATTTCTTTGCAGCTAGCAAAGAGCTCTGGACTGTATGTAGATGTTATGTTTTCGTGAGGTAGGGGATTTTTGAGTGCTGAGGTGGTAAAATAGGGCAAAACATAGTAAGTATTTTGACTGTATTCATTGTGTGTCAGTGTGTGAATATTCCTAATAAGCTCTTGTGTAATCCATTACAATTTTTTTTAATATGCATAGGGGGGTAACTCAGGCACTTACAATGAAGCTTACAAGAGACAAAGCAATAAGGAAAAACTCTGAATGACAAATTGTGAGGGTCTTTTGGGAGGAGGGGAGAGAATGAAGTGATCCCTTATGGCAGCAAGTGGAAAGAAAAACCTCACTTCCAACCACTCATTTCTTTTAACCAAGTGTATCAGAATGCTTTGTGATTGTTGACCCTAGCCTCATCCCTGCACTGCTAAAAGCCCTCTGCCATTCTGTGATATAATAAGCAACTGAGCCAGGAAAGTGAAGTGATTGCATCAGCATCTCCTTTACAGTCTTGGCCTAATTCAAAATAAAGCTGTGACCTCCCGGCTCACAGCTCTGTGTGATGCCAAGGCAATGAAAACATCTGACAGTTTTGATCCCTCCCTTTCTGTTGTGATAAAATCTCAATGCATGCACACATAAAGGATTTGCCTTCACACACAACTTGTACACTCCCAGTGTTCTCTCAGCAAACCTGTCTCTCATAGCAGCGTGGCAGTGAGGTTACTGATGAGCCTGTATCCATTCATCATTTGCTGCCTTTCTCCTCTCCATGCCCAGCTCTTCTGCTCACCAGGATAGGATAGCTTGTTCCTCTTCTCAGATCTCTACACTGGTTATTGGTTGTTCAGGCTTTTGATGATTTGGTTTGTAGATAAGTGTGTGTAAGCACCATCCCTCCTGGCAGAGCACAGTGTAGATTTCTGGTCCTTCTCCTCCCTTGATGTAATTTGCTGTTCAAAAACACAGCCACCAACAAACCCCAGTACTGTTTGTAGTGCTCCTTCATGGTTGCATGTTCATGTGTCCTTATGCCTCTTTAACGGTGCTCCTTGGAGAGTTCTATTGTTTGAAAGACATCTGGCTTTAGTGGTGCAAACCAGGAAAATTCAAGTATTGGCTTTTGATGCTTGTTGTAAACCATCTGTATATAGGAGCGAGTAGCACTCCTGCCACAGTGAGTGCTCTGAGTGTGCTCTCAGGGCTTTGTGTGACACCAGAGCAGCTTTTGCCTCTCAACTAGGAAATGCAAAGGGAACTCGCAGAGAAATGCTGGGTTCTTGTTTCCCATCATTGTTGCTCACAATCCTTGTTAGCACTAATAATGAACTTTTAGCACGAGCGTAGCAGGAGGTTACTTACTGGCTCTTTTGTTTTGTTGTTTTTGGGATTTTTTTTGTCTTTAGAATTCAGGGAGACTATTCATAAAACCAGTGATGCATGGAGCTTTATTTCAGAACAGCCTGAGACCACGTTTATTGAGCAGCAGGCAGCAGGTACTGATATTGCCTCTCAGACTGTCCTTTTGATTTTTGTCATGCATCACACAAGCTTGTTGTCTCTGCAAATGTGCTTTTTAAAATAAAAGTAGGTTCAAGTTTCTGCTGTACAGCACAAGTATGCTTAGTATGTTTTTGAGTGTTTTCTGAGGTTTTCAGTCCACAGAGCAGATGGGGTCGTGGTGGATTACTTAAACTTTTTTCTGGCCCAATGCTGCCACTAGCAGCTTTTTTGTGGTACTACATGTGGTTTTCATCAAAGGCTTCAAGAAGTGCGTTGGATTGAAAGGTTTTGATGTTTGTTAAGCAGGAAGGTGGAAATTCCTGTAACAATTAGACTGATGTGAACAGGAGAGGCGATAAGAACTTTCTGGTCCAGTAACCTGTGGTTTAACTTGTAAATGTTTTAAGAGCAGTCTTACAAAGGTTTTAGAGAACTGTGTTCCAGAAAAAACAAGCAGTGCTTGCAGCTGCCTCATGCCAAAAGAATGTTGATTTCCCTTCAGGCCTTCCTCTGGTTCTGCAAGTGCTTTGGAGCAATACGGAGAACTGACTACCAAGGGTGTCAAAGATCAACTGAAGCAGAGTCTGTAATAACTTGATGGGAAAATTGTCTTTTAAATTGGTGTTTTTAGTTTTTCTAAGAAGGAACAAACTGGTAGCTGGATTCTCAAAAAAGGAGCCCTTGTGGAAGAGAGTTTTGGGTAATGTTGCCATTGGTTTTGTGAGGTACACGAGCAGTTGGAGCCTGTAATTATTAGGAGTGAAGTGCAGCATCTCACCCTTTTGTGTAAAGGAGTGTAATAAAGAACATCTACAATTGTGTCTGAATCCATCTGTCCTTGGGGGGGGGGAACCTAGTGTCTTGATTGCAACCGTTAAGAATAATTGTTCTGAATTATGTTACTACTGATGCTCTTCATTTGTGTTTGGCCATGAATACTTCATGCTTTGGAAATGAGCAGACTAAGACCGTGCTGCACAAGGCCACAAGTTCCAGTCCTTTCTGATCCCTGCCTCTTCTTTTCTTGGTTTAGTTTTTTGTGAGGGAATGTGTTGGTATTTGCTGGCCATATATATAGAGAGATAAAACTGCACAGTGACACAGTAGGTTCTTGTTGCCTTTGTTTGGTTTGCACATCAGTCTGTCATTAGCACATGGTCCTTGTTTCACTGTCATAGAAATGTTTTCTTCCCCTTTGGATCTTACCTCAGGTTTTGTTCAGTATGAAAACAAATTTTATGCTATAGAAGATTTCAGATGTGGTCTAATTTCCTTTTTAGTAATGCTTTTAGACCTTCTTTTTCAGAGTAAACGGGACCACCTCCTTATGAATGTCAAATGGTACTATCGCCAGTCTGAAGTCCCAGATTCAGTCTATCAGCATTTGGTTCAGGACAGACACAATGAGAATGGTAAGTTAGGCTCTGTAGAGTAAGGCTTGATTTATTTGTACTCTGAATTTTAACAGTCCAGAAAGCAAGAATGCTTTTGCACAGGGATATGATACAAGGACTGTTGATGAAAAGGATCTATTAGAAGATAGATTCTTACCTTCCATGCTTGTTCTAAGTAGTGTATGTCCTGTAACCATAGCTGTAATCAGCTGCATTTCAGGAATGATTTAAATAATGTGCTGTATTATACAGCTGCCTTAAGAATAGAGAAAAAAATAACATTGGGTTCTCTGGGGGCCTTCTGGATGGTGTACTAATAGCTAACTGGCTGAAGACCAAGCTCTCTGAAGAAATCTTTCATCTTTTCTGTTTGCAATTCTGTCATAGTGTCACAAGAACAATGTTTTTTACACTCATGCTACCTTGCACATTATCAATACTCACTGGCATTAATGTTGCAATAAGTGATGTAACTGAAGCACTTGTAGCTGAGTTTTTCCCCCTTTTCTCTTTGCCAAACCAAATGTGATCTTGGGTTCAATAGAAGCAGAAGAAACTTCAGTACATACTCCAGTGTCATTTATCTCTTGCCTCTAGGGGAGACATAACATTTGCTTCTGTCCTTACAAGGGAATTTCCTTGAGGCAACTTAAAATTCTGAAGATGCTCCAAGGTGAAATGCGATGATAAAAGTTGATGTTTGAAATCTGGAACACAGCAGCTTTTTGGTGCATGGCAGTACAAAGTTGAGCAGATAGTCTCCTTTTTGCAGGCGTTAAGGACATTTGGCGTGTGCTTTTAGCAAAGGCTGCACAAACCTAATGTTTCTTTTACTATTTTGCAACGTCTAACAGAGGGATTTGGGGCACAGTGACAAAGTGGGCATTCTTGGTAACGTGGCTGCTTTTTTATGTCACACTGTTGTGCATGTGGGGAAGGGTTTTTGTTCTTCAGCAGTACTATAAAGAAGTCATGGGAAACATCTTCCAGTTTTTTCTTAACACTGAGAATTTTCTGTTTGAATGTGAATATCAATATTTATCTCAAACCCAAGATTTTGTTGGAGTTTTGAGATATAACAAAACCTTAACCTGGAAATCTGAAGTCAGTGATAAATTACTCAGTTGCTTTCACCTACGAGTGACCACTTGTAATTCTCATTGGATGACATGTGTCATCCAGCGCCCCTAAAATCTCTTTCCCTTCAGCAGTTCTGGACAGGGAGAATTCCTGTCTAAAACTGGATATTAGGTTATTTCCCTACCTTACAGGCCACATAATCTCAGTGTTTGTCATTTTAACACTGAGGAGGGTACATCTAAGAAACATCCTCAGACTTTGACCTGTAAAAATTGCCTGCAAAATGGCCATGGTGGATACTTTCAGACTGCAGCTAATGTGTTGGTGGTTTTTTGTTTGTGTCTTTGCTTTCTGGCAGACTCTGGACGAGAGCTTGTTATCACAGACCCAGTTATCAAGAATCGAGAGCTCTTCATTTCAGATTATGTTGACACTTACCACGCTGCTGCCCTCAGGTAAGGTACAGAGGATGTGGTGCAGAGGCTCGGAGGTGGAGGAGAAAAATCTTGCCAAGAGAGGTGCTTTTTCTGGTTTGGGGGATGGGGGGTGTTATTAGCACACTGCTCAGCTTTCTCCTCATCTCCTGCAGTAATTAACTTGTGTTATCTGTTCTCATTCAAAAAGGAGCTGTAATTCTACCATCTCGTTTTAATCTCAGTTAATCAATGTTGCTCAGAAGATAGCCTCCCATCATTGCCAGTTTAGGTTATTGTTAGCTCCTGCAGCAATACTACCCTTCCCTCCTCCGTGTTTGATTTCACTACTAACAATAGCATCTCCTGGTGAAGTGGCTGTTAGTATGTTGCCCTGATTAAATTGCATTGAAGGCTTTTTCTCTGAGGCACTTGTCATTGTTGCAGCTCAGCTAAGAGCTCCATTAAAAACTAGCTGCACAGACAGGAGGTAATGGACCCGAGTATTGTTCTCTGTACTATCTGCCCTTCCCTGGAGGTTGCTACTCTTAACTCCCCAAGTTTTTAACTTAAGTGGCTAACCTCTGCCTGGGCTGGGGGGATCCACCATTACTTGGAAATGTTTTCAAATAGAAGCAGTGAGACATTATTTTTCAGCGTGTTTTCGGCGTGCCAGGCGTGCATGGGTACTGTCAAAATGTAAATTGAATAATCTCCCTGCTAATAATGCTCATTTGATGTTTCACTAGAACCATCTGGAGACATTGGTTTGTTCAGTCACTTGGCTGCAGCCACTTCAAGACAAACTAGCTGCCCCTTCTGTTGCAGGGGTGGGAAGAAGTCTTTGATTTGCACATTAGCCTTTTTTTATGAACTAGGAAAATTCCAGTTGTGTGCTATAATCTCATGGAATTCCACAGCTCCTTTTCAAGTTACAGAAGGTCACCTTCCAATTGACATGCTCAGAAACAAGCTAGCAGGAGGCTGGCTGGTGGTCTTGATGGAACCCATCTTGGGAATCTGTCTGCTTAAAAAGAGAGAAGCTGAACTATGTGCATGGAATTTTCCCTGGGAGTATTTTAACTTCTCTCCTACAGCCTTTCTGTTTTTTTTCTTGAAAGAGAAGATAACAAAGGAAAGATAAAAATGGAATATATGCATACTAAGCAAACTTGAAAAATAACCTTCTCTTCTCCCCTTCTGAATGGAGTGAAGGCTGCTAAAAGACCAAACTGATGCCTTTCTCAACCTGTCTTGGGTTTTATCTGCCACCTCTTTTTGGAAGTGCCTCCCAGAAGTGCCTGTTAGATCACCTTTGGTTTCTCTTGGCATATGCTTCCACTGTTGTTTTGTTCTGGGTTGTTCATGCTCCTGATAATTCATACAGGCTTGAAGATGGTACCTAAGATTAAAGATAAATCTGATAAAGATTATATTTTTGCTGTTTTTTTTCTAGCAAATTGGGATTAATACATGTCACTAATTTCCAGTGTACAGGATAAACCTAAGTGTAATTTCGTGTGGTGTTCTTAGTGTTTGAGAGGATAACGTAGGCAGAAAGTATTGTCATGTGTGAAAGGAGGGTAAACGTGAAATTCTAATTTATTATGATACAAGATTATTTCTCTGCCCTCTGCTAACAAATGGCTCTGGTCACACAAGGAATGGATGACAAACTGGGAAATAAAACCAGTGATTGTAACCACCAATCTTCGGCTGTAACCAGTGGAAAAAAAAAATTAACTAGAGGATGCTTGTAGATCCCTGTGAAGTGTGTAATAGAAATTATGTCCATTTTACCTGTGTGGTAAATCTTCATGGCAATATGTAGTAGTCCAAAATGCTGTGAACAAAATGAACTGCTTTCATTAGGATAAATAATAGAAGCTTATCTGGAAAATGTTTATTAACTGTCAGAGGAATTATTGAAAAGAAACAGTATTTTCCCCAAAAACACTTTTAAAATGTGAATTTAATGTGAAATATCAAAACAAATACCCCTTCTCATTTTCTTTCGTTCTAAATGACTAAACTAGGAAAGTAGCTTCAGCCACCAGGGATAAAATAAATACTAGTGAACAAGTTTGTCTTTCAGTATTTCTGCATGATGTCTCAATTATGGACCTTGTTAATGTTCCATTACAACCTGACATGACCTGTATAATATCCAGCGTGGCTTTGTCCTCTGCCAGCAAGGCAGTTGCTAAGAATTAGGCAATCACAGGGACAATTATGTGGCCTCAGCTCACAGGAGAGCTGTATCGATTTTGTCTTAAAATGGTTGGCAACTTTATTCATCCTTCTGGTGTTTTTTCCCCACCTGTAGTAGGTGGTGTGTTCCAGGGCCGAGTTCTCAGTGCCTGTTTGGTAAGGTTTTTTGAAGTGCTTTGCCATGAAACGATCAGGAAGGGAAAGCAGCTCAGCATTTCGGCTTCCTAGGGCAGTTTTTCAAGTGTGCAGTGCTTCTAAGCTCTGCTGAAAAGACCAGGCAAACAGATCCAGGATTATTGCAGGCAAAATAATTCTTCATCTGAGTGTCCTGGTGGCAACAGCACTTCATTCAATTTTAACCAAGACTGGCAAACCTTTTTGCAATGTTAAATAAGCCCCACAGCAGCTTATTTATAATAGCAAACACTATTCAGTACATGCAAGTGAAAAGAGATGCTATCCATATTAATACTGGAAAGCTTGACATACTGAAAAAGAGCTAAATCTTGTGCTTTGTTTATTGCATTGAATCAGGTTCAGATAAAAAGCTGGAACTCTTTGGCTGTCTGGCCCGTTTATCTCTGCCTGCTTCTGATCTGATCTGCTTGGCAGCAGTAAAGTGCAACGCATTGAATGGCAACACAGGAGCAGCTGCTGAACATTAACAGCCCAACAAACCCTTGAGGAAATGAGATACAACTTCTTACAGCAAGTCTTCATGCTCCTCCTTAAGGATAATGACTCCATCAACAAACTATATTAAAAAAAAATATTAACAGTCTGTTGTAGAAGAAGCTCATAAATTCTCTTCTCTCTTTCTCTCTCCATTTTTAAAAGTCTGTTTCACTTCTTATATGAAAGCAGAAGGGAGAAACATTTGTGTTTGGAATTTGCACTGTTAGAATTGCAGTCTTGCTAAAACCAGCATAGCTTTGGGTTTTATTTGGAAATGTTATTAAATTGAAGTTTTATTTGGCTTTCTAAACAGTATGAATAGTAGGATTTTTTTGAGCATAAGTGTAATAGGACTGTAAAAAGAAGATTTTCAGCATGGTATTCTAATTGTTCATTAGTCTGATTAAATGTGGGCTCCAGGACTGTGTGCTGGCTGAATGAAGTCATGTATGTTTGTAGAACACCATCTGAGACACAGTAACTGAGTTTTCTTCTCTTCCACAGTGGGAAAAATCTGCATGGTTATTTGTTACAATAGGATTGTATTTATGATGTTTTAGACATTTGTGAGAACACAAGAATGTCTGTGGTTTATACACAGATTGCAGTAGCACTTAATTAAACTAGCAGTTATTTGAGATAGAATCCTAATATCATTTTCTCCTCTCTCTTTCAGAGGGAAGTGTAACATCTCCCATTTCTCTGACATATTTGCTGCTAGAGAGTTTAAAGCTCGAGTGGATTCATTTTTCTACATACTGGGCTATAATCCAGAGACAAGGTAAGTGAAGTGACTTTTAAAGGCAAGCTTTACTACTGATCTTGAACCTGTAGCAACAACAAAACCATTCAAGGGAAGAAAAGTTAGAATCAAGTATGGTGCTGATAGGAAAGTGGGGGTGCAAGGGAATGTGAGGGGGAAGCTAGTAACTAACATTGGAACTTAACCCATTTTTAAGAAATCAAGTTGGAAGTTTTTAAGTGTGGAAATTCACAGCTTTCACATGTAAATACTCTTATAGAGTCCTGTATCAACAATTCCTAGTTCATGCTTCCCTGGCCTAGGCCAAATTAAAGGTACAGAAGGAAAGTTTTCTGGGAATAATTACATGTTTGAATAAGGTATGTCCAGCAGGCTCTTCAATTGCACAGTTTGTTCAGTCTGCCTGGGACTTGGACAACCAGTCTTCACTGGCTCTGTTTGGAAGGAAAAGCTGATACTGCACTGTACCTTCATTATTCTTCACGTCCAAAGCCTGACTCGTATTTTTTTCCATTTATGTAGTTTTATACCCACAGAGAATGCCTTTAGAAATACCAGCCTTGAACAGTTTGTTGTCTGGGGTCATATTTGTGTGAGCACTTGAGTAAAAGATTAATGTGTAACAGGGCTCAGCAAGGTCTGTGCCAGCCAAAAGTTGTATTGTTTCTTTCAGTGCAGAAAACATAATTAGCTGTGGATCTTGATTTATAGAGATATTGTTGAGAAAAGTATTAGTTTAAGTGGGGATTAGATAGGCATATAAATAATAAACATTTGAATCATTAGATGGTAGATTTGCTGTTTTTAACACAGATGGGAATCTTTGTGCTTCAGGGCTTAGCCAACCACTAACTGCTTGCAGTTAGGAAGAAACTCTCTGTGTGGGCATGTTATTGTGTAATTGCCTATTTATGAGGCTTCCTGTACCTTAGTCTCAAGTGTCTTAAACTGTCCATGTGTCTGAGGCAGGGTATTGGACTTGGTCACCTCCCTTAATCGATCCAGCTGACATTCCTAGTGGGTGTTGTCAGTGGAAGCCCTTAGGAGGCAATTTTGGTAGTGTATGGTGCTCAGTTCTGGGGGAGAAAAGGCATGAAATTCTATAATAATTTTAAAATACAATATGCTAAAATAGTATTTTAGCATAATTTCTGTATATTTTTGGAGCAGTCCAACAAGGAGAGGTATTTATGATGTGTGTCATGATACCTCTCTGATGCCCAGCTTCATGCTTGAGCCCTGTATTTAACTTTATCACTTTTCTTCAGTGCATTTTTGTTTTGAGGGGGTGGATACTGAATGAACTATTTATTAGTGTTCAAGTTCTGCACTTAATGGATGATTTCTCTTATGAAATACCATTTATGTGAGTTGTCAGTTCAGCTTTAAACTCACTTTCGGTGTAGAAGGACCTGTTAATTTTTCCAGCTATTAGGAAATGACTGAGCCTGAAAAGATCAATGAAATGACACAGCATAGCACTCAGTGATCAGCTAATTACTCAGACTAGCCAGCTCTCAAAATGTGGGCTTTTCTTCTTTTGGTTGCAGCCAGTGTTTTTTAATTCTAGCCTTTCAAGTCTGTATTTTGTCTTTGGAATGGGGAGAGGTTTAGAAACAGGAGCTGATTCTAGGTTGCTGTGATGATTTTTGACCTGTGTATTTGCTGCTTTTTTGCATGCATGGCTGCTTTGAATACTGAATTACTGGGTATTTTGCTTTTGGAAGTAAAAGGATTGTAACTCCCAGATGAGGAATTAATGGTTTCTCTATAAAAACAAAGTTTTGTCTTCAGCTTGATCTGGTTTTGTAATGTAGTGCTTTGCTTCACGTGGGAAGGATGGAGAATGTTCATGGCACCTTGAAGTAACAGTATGTTGTAGATAAGTTTTGAATACTGCAGTAGGAGCCCTCAACTGACTTGTAGAAATATAGTCTTAGACCAAGCAAGCTTAAACTGTGGATTGCACCTACAAAGATATATTTTATTTTATGTTCAGCATGAGATGCTCAATGTATTTGGAATCCAACTATTCCTGTGTTTTCATGTGTTCCATTTGCATAACAACCCACAAAAATCCCAGACTCTGAAACCATCCAAAACACTGCTGTGGTGGATCTAGTAGGAGGCCCTTTTGTTCTTGGAGCATGCAGTGCTAAAGCCAAGTATGTTTTGTCCTTTCTTTTCTGTTTGAAAGCTTGCAATTAGCTTGGGAAATATCAACTTGTAATCCTGAACTGATCTTAAAGCTAGAGGCTGGGTCTTGTCACCTTGAATAGTGTTAATCAAGCTAGTGAGTAGAGCTGGAATACATTCCTGGCTCTCAAGAGTGTGGAATACATCCACTGAGTTCGTATAGCCAGGTGGGAAAGAAACTATTTTATGTTAAGTCATTAAAAGTAATTTTACGTCTTCAGAGAAGTGACTGCTCTGACTAATTCCACTGCTCTGGAACCCCACTCAAACTTTTAGGTTCGCCAGCTAGCCAGATGAGACCAGTGCTTTATCAAAGAAGAAATGTTAGGTGAATTGCTTAGACCTTGAAATCAGTTTATAAGCATTTCAAAGTATGTAGAATAGCAGTCAAGAAGAATTAAAGGACAAACAAAACCAGACCAAATCTACTGCCCTAGAAAATCAGCAACAGCAACAGTTTAAGTTGTTGATTTTGGTGCTTGAGACAGAAATCAGCTCTGCCTGTTAAAAAATACCCAGTGAGGCTTGGGAATGCTGTTGAACATGCTGCTTGACCTCAGACAGCTGTTCTTCACCAGCTTACATCTCACCACTCATTTATTACAGCTGGAGTTACTACCCTGTCTGTAGTACTCTGCCAGATGTAGCTGATTCTGGCAGGAACTTTTCCCAGTCCTTCCTTTTGTGCTCTGACATGGTGCATGAAACCTGCATCTTACAGAAACAGCTTGGAACTGCCTCTCTCAAGGGTGCAGCCACTCCAAATGCCACCGTTGGTATCGGCCTCTTTTTGTGCTGTACTGGCATGTACTTAGGACATCAGTTATTTGATCTTGGGAGTAAGTAAATACATGATGAAGTTTTGTCTGACACTGACATCTGGAAGTAAACATAGATTGAAATGCTACTGAACTTTTACTTGGAGCTAGAAATTATCACTTGTTATTTTACAAACAGTTTTCAGGGCCATGAATTGTGTTGTCTTCCACAAGGTTGTTTTGCTTTGTAGAACAAAATAATACTAAACATTCATGCATGGGTGAATTTTCTGAATAGATGTTTTGGGAGGATCTTGTCTGTATTTTTATACCACAACACACACTTACTTTATCTGTAATCTTCTGAAGTGTTCTTATTGTGGATGATGGTGTGAGCTAAATGAGTATTTGTGTGTCACTGAGAGGAGTGTTCCCAAGAGTGAAATGGAGGATGACTTAGTCTTTCTTTTTTTGTCCTCCTTGGCTTACTATTTCATGTTGTCTGGAAGGGGGTTTCTGTGGAAAGTCTGACTCAAGAGACTTTTAATTTATTTATTACTTCCCCCCCTTTCATTGGAAAGCATAGTGGGTGGAATACAAGTTTCAGGTCTAGAAACAGGTAAGAATGGTGTATATTCCTATGAAGTGAAGAAGCCAGTGTGGAGTTGTGTGTAGACAGGATTTTCAAAGCTTCATCTTAATGTTATGGCCCTGTAGGAAAAAATTGGAGTTGAATGATAAATTGGTATCTGCAACCCAAATGGAACGGAGGCTAAAGAGGACTGCCAAGCTCTGTTTTGCCTTTTTCAGCTTTTTGTCTGGTTAATTCTTAGCAGTCAGAATATTTTGATTCTATGCATATAATAGTGCCTAGGGCAGTGATAGAGGGTGCAATGATCATAAAAGATTTTAATTACATCCATCCTTATGTCTCAAATTGGAGCCTTAAAATGAGTTCTTATTACGCTTACGCTTAGTAGAAGGCTATGACAGTTTGTGGTGTACGTTGCTAATATAAGACAATTCCTGCAGCATAATCCAAGTCCAATTTATTATTTTTAAAATAGATTTAGTGATTTGAAATACAACCGGGAATCCTCCTGATGAGGGAAATGGGGGACTTCAGTATGCCCATGTGATGTGAAACAGATGGTTGCTGTATGTCTTACTAAATTACAGCAAAGTTGGTTTGTATCACTGTTGTCTAATACTCCCAGGAAGGCATTATGGAAGATGCTGAGCACCCTCACTTCATGTTAGGAGGTATTGTCATGTGTTGAAGTGCTTTGCATTTTATTCCTTCTAAACAAACAGACAACAAATTCTCCCCAAACCGCATTTAGATAAATGGATTTATAACTTCATGGGGTTCTTTCCGACTGATACCACACTCACTAATACAATTTGGAACATTATTTCTGTGTGTCCCCATCTCGATTTATCTTTGAACTGGAAGGCAGCATAAAAGCTTAGAACTTTTCCCTCAAGATCATATTGTGAACTTGAGGAGAAAAAACACAATTCAGAACAAGAGCAAAAAAAAATCCAGACATGCCTTTCAGTTGCAGCTGAAATGAAGACTAAATACATTTGGCCTTGTAAGTGTTCCTACTCAAATCCATCAGCTGGTAAAGACTGTGCAACATCTTTGGAGTAGTTTTCTTCTTCTAGTCTGTAGTCTGGGAAAATCTGGTCAGACAGTCTTGTTTTGAATGTTGCCTCCTGTACTATTTTTGTAACAGGAGTGAGCTGATAGATAAACTCACCATGACATTCTATTTGGTTTTCTTGGGTTTGTGTTGGGGAATTTTTTTTTTTTTGGTAAAGCAATTTATAAATCTTCATTGCGTTTCTGGAAGTTATAAATACATAACCTAGTATAGCTTAATATTTAAAAAAACAGGAACTTTAATCATGATTGGTTGTTTTTGGTGTTTCTTTCCCCGCAAGTTTGAGTCAAGCCCCTCTATCCTGGATCTTAGGCAATGGCTCCTTCAGATTATGAATGAGCTTGGTAGGTTGGGTAGATGAGTTTTGGCAGAGCCTCAGTAGCTGAACTGTTCA